TATCTGTTATGCAAATAACGTCCACCTTGGCTTCGCTTGCAAAATGGGGAATTGTGCCGATCTTCGGGGCTAAAGACATAACATTGTATAGCTATAACGGCATGACATGATCTAAATGGAGAACGACTTTGCACTTCGCTACGTTCTCACATACCCAAGTATAAATAGCCGTGAGAAATTAATTAGTACCTTCGCCGAGGGCTTATGCGCGGAACAGCGCTCTGCATCGTTGGCTCGGGGATATGTTTAGTTATTTGAGCTATTGTTATATTAGCTAGTGCTGAAACTAAACGTGATTAGCTGATTCGTAGTCATGTCGCTTCAGCTAAATAAAACTTATCTCCCTGGGCAATAAGTGCAAGTTTGTTGCCCGCCCGGACACGCCAGATATATAAATAAACAAAATTATGCGAGTCATGCGAGTCCGCGAATCGTGCGAGTCTGCGAGTCATGAGAGTCGTGTGAGTCATGAGATTCGTGCGAGTCATGAGAGTTTTGCAAGTCTTTCACTGTTTCAGTTCTCTCAATGTTTTCTACTCAGTGTTAGTTTATAAACGGGCAAATGATATCTCTTTGTTACACAACCCATCTACAGTATCCTTCTCTTCCCTTATAAGTGGAAATTTACAAAAGTAAAATTTGATTACGTTATTTATTATATTAAGATTAGGCCGTCCGCTGTCTCCCAATATCGTTCACTTTAATTTAGCACTTCTTGGATCTGAAATATTTTTACGGGTAACTGACAATCTGTTCGAGCAATTTTCCGCTCCGTAGACCCGCAGTTTACTCAAAAACTGCTATTTTATCTTCACTAATTTCACGACAATTTTTTTCAATGACGACACACGACTATGTCACTGAAAATAACCAATTTCTATTAACCAGTCTTCATTTCAACTAAGTACCGTTTTGCTCGAATCATTTTGAGTTATGTAATCTTATGCGTGTTAGATGTAAACAACATATCTTGTTTACAACTTTGAGAAGGTGCAGATAACGCTTTTTAATTAAAATCCTCAGAAGTTAACGATATGTTTTTTTGACTATTTCACTGCTCTGTATAATGTTACGATTAAGTGCATGGGAGAAATGTCTGCATGAGCTGTTTATTTGGTGATTTCAATGTATAAATGGAGGCAATCTTTCCAATAATATTCGCTTTCGCACGGCATAACACCAACTGATGTAATAGTTCAAATGCAATGATAAGTTCTTCTTTAATTACGTCTTGAAAACTGTGTTGGAAATTTAAATGCTGATCCATTACATAAGATTACCGTTTTACATCTGTATAAATGTGTCAATGTCATTGTATAATTGCCTTCGTTTTTAAAGAAAAACGCTGTGATCTCAATAGAAATTGTGGACTTTACCGGAGAAAAGAAAACAATCAGGTCGGCTGGTTTATTAAACAGTTCATTTTTGTTGAACATTGGTACACTATACTGCCCAGTCAGGTTCCAGCATTTATAACTAACTACAAAGCTACAGAAGCGGTATTTCTTGTGCTAAATCGAACAAAATATTTTCACAGTTTTATGGGAATGAAAGTCTAATACTGATAACTCGTTTCGGTGGTTTCGGTACTTTCAGGTTTTAAGACGTGTTTTTTTTAAACGCCACGCCTGCAGTTGCACCAGAGTCCTGCCACAGAAAATAAATTGTCAGAGGATTTGCCTCATTTACGCTTTGACAAATCTCGGCTAATTTTTGCAATGCACAACACACACTTTAAAGATGCTGTAAAGTCCAAATGTAAACAAACGCTTTGTTTACATTTTGAACTACTGTATTTGTAAAATATGATATACTAGCTGACTATCTGACACTTTTCTGTTACGCCATGCTTGTAAATGAATATAAACTAGACGTTTCAATTAAAAAAAGTTCGAAAGATGCAAAATTTGTGCAATGTTTATATCTGCGGGTCACCCTTTGTTATGAGCAGAAGTGATACGCAGAACGGACTTTACAGCATTTTTAAATAATTTATTTACTCATCTTTTACAAAGATCCATGATGACCACCTGCATGTGATCAAAGACTGGCAAAACTCCCACGGCTCACAAAACTCGCACGACTCGCAGACTTGCGTGACGTGCACACTCGCAAAATGGCAGACCTTGGGGGTCATAGTTGACCTTGGATCGTAGTTAGTTTTGTTTCCTCTGGAATCTAAATGATTCCTTCGACTTCATCTCGGGAAACGTTCAGACTCTCGGGAAAACAAAATTAACCATTTCCCTCGGGAGCAGATAATAAATGTACAATGTAACATAAAATTGCAGTGATTTATATTATTGTTCAATTCATCAAAGTAATTGTATTTACTATCCAAAAATCTCTAAATGAAAAGAAGAGCGAAGTTACTTTCATGAAAAATTGCTTCGCTGAAATATGCGTAAATTTCACTCGATTGAATAGTAGGTTGGAAATTACCGTGTGGAAATGTATATTCATATACTCAATTAGACCTAATCTGCAATAGCCGCAAAAAACGCAACTATAGGTCCCTGACAGAACACTGGGGAAAAACGTCTTGTGATCGTGGTGTCAAGTATTCCGAATGTTGTCAAAAACTTAAAATGGAAGCGACAAGGATCGAGCGACTTCGATGTTTTGCCATTTCTGTCAAAATGCAAGCGGAATGATGAATGTTACAACCTAAAAACTATACATAATTATAGTCTACAGGTGCAAGGAGTAGCATTATGCAAGAAAATAATAATAATAATTTAGTCATTTAAATGAGGCGCATATAGTTTGTGTAAAATAGTAAAAGCGCTGTACATTGTAAAAATATAAAAATACATCTAGTAGAAAACGGAATCAGAATAAAGTATACCCAATATAACATAATAACTGACGCTAAAATATCTAATGTGTATATCTACGTTAAGAATAATACAATACGTGGTCTTAGACTATAATAGTTTAAAAGCCTTTCAAAAAAGGAATGTTTTCAAACGTTTATCCTAAAGACAGAAATGTTATCACAGTTCCTCACATTCAGAGGTATGGAATTCCAAATTTGTGGAGCCGCATGCGCAAATGACGCCGCCGAAAGCAAAATGGATTTAACTCATGATTTTAACTTAGGATCACCTAGGATCTTACAGTTAGTTTTCGGGATGTGTACCAGTCCTTAATAATCCGATCTTAATGTCCAGCGATCGCTTGATGGTTTTGCGATAAGTAATTCAGAAATGTAAATAGGGGCAATGTTGTTAAGAGCCTTGCAAACTAAGAAAGCAAATTTGAATTCCATCCGATATTTTACTGGTAGCCAGCGAAGTGCAATCAATACTGGAGCGATGTGTGAGAATATTGCACAACGATGAATTAATCTGGCAGCTGCATTAAGTACTCTCTGAATTCGTTGGACTTGATATTGAGGTATGCCAGCCAGTAGAGCGTTACAATAGTCCACATGTGATGTCAGCAAGGCATATATATGCTTCTCGTTCTGTTAATTGATAAAAACTATCTAATATGTCGTATTTTATAAAGTCCTCCAAATGCTTTACTGCACATCTTGCCTACGTGAACAGACATTGACATGTGTTTCTCAAACCACGATCACACAGTCAACCGACTTAATTTGGACTCCACCAACATTTACATTGTCAATTTCAATTTTCGAAAGTTGTTAAGGTGTACCAATTACAGGAAATTCTGTTTTTGAGTCTTTAAATATTAGTTTGTGAGACACCAGCCAAGCACGAACATCAGAGATACATTTTTCCAGTGCAGACAAAGTACTCTCTTGATTAGCGCCACACTCTGGACGAAATCTAGGACACGTAAATTTGTGTGTCGTCAGCATATCCACGAGAGGAAGGCAAATATCGGTCTACAGTGTGTATCAAAATAATTCGAATCCAAATTTGGCGTGTAATAACGCAGAACATATTTGACAAATTCGGTTGGTTTTTACACCATTGTTAAGTTCATTTATTTACCTTTCAAATGACATGTTGTACGCGTCATTTAGTTGGAAAATGAAGGAGTATTGCTTTGACAAAAAAAGTCCATAAAAATCACAATTTTCCGCCGATGGGAATTGGACATTTTTTCTTTCAAAGTTAGTCCCACAAGACTTTGAAATGCTAATCATCACTGAAAATTAAAATGCAAATTTAACGCGAATTTCTTCTCGTTCAACATGTTGAAGGCACAGGAGCTTAAATCTCTTTAAATGAACACGACTTTATATAAATTTTGCTACATAACAGTTTGTTGATTAATTAAATTTGCATTATCTTTTGTTTGTACGTCTCACTTCGAATTCCCATCGGCGGAAAAATTTGATTTCGAGCAACCAGTTTTAACACACGATTTCTTGGTCATTTTTGATCTTATTGATATAAGAACGATATAATCGGAAACCTAATAGGCTATTCTTTATTGCCATATAAAAATTATATGGTTTACTTTAGCATTTTATAAACAGCAGTCTGTCAAATTTGGATTCGAATTATTTTGATGCACACTGTATAATGTAATTTATATCACACTTGTGTCGGTTTTCTTTGTTCGTCCGAGGTTTATAACTAGCTTATAGACCTTGAATAAATGATTGGATTAAACTTGTAGACAAAACGCGAGAATATTTCATTAAAAATTTTTGGAAATGACAAAATATGTTGGAAAACCTCCGCAAGTGTGATATTAGTTAGTTATAAACCGAGTAAGTCGGTTTATAACTGATATATTGCCCCTCGGACTCTACGCGTCATCGGGTCAATATATCAGTTATAAACCTCCTACTCGGTTTATAACTCTTACATAATTGGGATACCTAAAGCAGAAAAAGTATAGGGCCAATACAGCTCCCTAGAGGAACCCCGTAATTAACATCGCCGACTTCAGAAAAGTTGTTATCAAGATCAACTCTTTGTTTTCTGTTGGAGAGAAATGACTTTATCAGATCAAATTTGCGTTTGTTTGTTTGATCAATGAGCGTTTGTTTGCGAACAATTCGACCCAAATGAAGTATGCCTTCACATCAGAAGTTCTCGCGTTCGGAACTTATTCGTCTTCATTCCAAGACCTTACAAGTTAGCCGTAATGTTGTTTCGCTGCTCAAAGCATTTAATATCTTCAAGCACCAGAAAGGAAAGAGAGGTGGTAGACGAAAGAAAGCTGAACAAGAACTCTCTAGAATCCCAGTTCGTATTACATGGCGATCAGCAAACAAAATCAATCACACGGAACGAAGGCCTAGGGCTCTTACAAGCATTTCGCGGAACGTTAACTCAAATGTAAGAGGCATGTACGATTTTCCAAACATTCTGTGCTCAAATTCAAGATCTATTATGAGTAAAATTGACGAACTTGACGAAATCATGAAAGTGTATTCGATTGATATTACTGCAATTACTGAATCTTGGTTAAGTGAATCTATTAGTGATGATTATGTAACGTTGGTAGACTATAATATCTATCGATGTGACCGAGTTGGGCGATTAGCTAGGAGGTGGAATTTGTGCCTGGGTAAAGTCCGATATTCAACAACAACAAATTTCTCAACACCAGTGTGATGATTATGAGAGCATGTGGCTCAAAGTTCGCCCTAGAAAGCTCCCTCGTGGGTTTTCATCGATTTTAGTAGGAATTGTTTACCGACCAAATAATACGAAAGATGCAAATTTACTTGAACAGCATATAATAGAAGTCACAGATATATTGTGAATAACTTGTGCTCTAGTAATCTCCAACAAAGCTCGAATGATATTAGTGAATTTGTACACGAAAAGAAAATGATGCTTAACCCAGTGAAATGCAAAGAAATGTTTGTCTGTTTCAAAAGAGTACCTCCAGTGATTGATAATATTACCATCAACAACGTCCCAATTGAAAGGGTATCTACCTATAAATTACTTGGGGTTAATCTGTCATCAAATCTTAAGTGGAATGAGCATGTCAATATGATAACAAAGAAAGCTGCGAAGCGTATTTACTCTGTGAGACTTCTGAAAAGGGCGGGCGTTGCAGATACGGACTTGGTCACTTTCTACTCAACGTGCGTAAGAACAGTATTGGAGTATGCTTGCCCTGCATGGTTTTACAGTACTACTGAATACCTTAGAGAACAAATTGAATCCATCCAACGCAGGATCATGCGAATAATTTTCTCGGATACTAGCTACCAAGAAGCCTTAGATCTTGCTGGCATCCCCCGGCTATGTGTGAGATTGGAAGACCTATGTGACATGTTTTTCTGCAACATCATGAAGGAAAACCATAAACTACATGACCTTTTACCACCTATTTTCCAAACTCATTATAATACCAGGTCCCAGGCCTCTGGAATACAATTCCAGTTGCCAACATATAAAACTAATAGATCTCGAAACAATTTTATTGTCAAATCTGCTGTGAAATGGAACAATACGATTAGGAAGAACATAGGGAATGTATAGCCCTACATATTTTTAAAATGATGACTTTTTAGAATTTAGTGTAAATAATTCAGTATATACTATACAGTGTTCTTAGTTTTGATGTTTGTAGTTGTTTCCCCTTTTACCTTTCTAACGCAACATTGTAATGGGTAAATTTAATTTAGTCTTTGACTACGATTTGCTCAAATTAAAGCTATTATTATTATTAATATCATTTTGCACCTGTAAAAGAGTCTATCTCAGTCGATGATATCTCCTGAAGCGATATTGGCAGATTGGGAGTGGAGCATTTTTTGACAATGGCGCTGCAATTGGTTAGCAAAAGCCCTTTCAGTTACCTCTGAAAGAAATAACAAATTGGACATTGGCTAAATTTTCAAATAATGGCTCCATACTAAGCGTTTTCAAAACTGGCTTCAGTAGAGCAATTTTCCAGTGATCCGGGACTCGACCATCTTGCAAAGAGAAATTTGCAATTTTAGGAATAGAGGGTCCAAGTTCAAGCAAACAGAGTTTCACAATCCATGATGGAATCGGATCAAATTTGCAAATGGCACTGGACAAGTACAATTACATTTCTCTTCCCCTCTCTCACTCTCTCGCTCTCCCCATATCCCCCTATCCCCCTATCCCTCTCTCTCCTCTCCCTTTCTCGCTTTCTCCCTCTCTCCCTCCCCCCCTTCTGTCTGTCTGTCTGTTTGTTTGTCTGTCTGTCTGTCTGTCTGTCTGTCTGTCTGTCTGTCTGTCTGTCTGTCTGTCTGTCTGTCTGTCTGTCTGTCTGTCTGTCTGTCTGTCTGTCTGTCTGTAGAGCTCTGCAAAAATTACTTTATTTTTTCTTTAACACAACAAAGTGGACCTAAATTGTTCAAAGTTTTCAAAGTAATATGAACAGGTATCTTGATCACGACGAAGAAAATAATTTCTTCACCTTGGGTGGAACAGCGAATGACTTGAAATGCTTTGTGAACTCGGTTCTGGAAAGAAGAAGACAAAGAACACAATGCTGTTACGTACAAATTGACAAATTGCCCAATCAGATTTTATTCCACAACGAATAAACTGGTCTTATTTGGCACGAACCAAGCCGTCTTGTTGGATAAACTGAACAATATTCACAGAAAAAATAAAGGTTTTCAACCCCGCCCTTCTTCTCCGACTACGCAAAATAATGGCGGCAACGTCGAAGGAAATCACATTGATCATCAAGTCATTCAAACCCAGAAGTTATTAATGCAACGTCTCACAGTAACGAAGCTTCGCTACTTGTTCTTGGTTGTTCTGACGAGTCTGGAGAAGCAAACTTAATTCCAACAATTGATATCTGCAACGAAGCTATGACTATTAGTGATACAAAGACAATTATAGTGTGATCCTAAAGGAACTGTCTTTAATAAAATCAGAAATGCATTAGGTCAAAGAAAAGTGTTTACAAAATAGCATGAACAACGAGACACGTCCACATCCAGGAGAATTAGATATAGAAAATCTCCCTGGATTACATAAGATTTAAGACGCCAGATATTTAACCGAGATTACCTAAAAAAGAAACCTGTTACATCCAATGATCCTAAAATCTGGCATCAATATCGACAAACTCGAAATCACATTAATAATGAAATCAAAAAAACTAAACAAGCTTATTATAAGAATAATCCGAATCGAGTAAAGGCAACATGAAAAAAACATGGAAACTTATAAATGAACTAAGTTCTAGAAATGTAACCAAAACTAAAAAGATAACACAATTATATTAGATTTTGAAGAGCGAGAAATAACTGCACCTGAAAAATAGCTGAAACATTTAACAGCTACTTCTCAGGTATTGGTGAAAAACTTGCTTCCGATATTCCTGCTCCTGTGCGTGATCCAGCAGTTTATCTTAAACCAACTGATGAATCTTTCTTTCTCAAAACTCCCTCCGTTAACACAGTTTATCAACTGCTGACTACATTAGATAAGAAGTCAGCTGGTTTGGACAATATACCAAACAAGTTCCTAAAGATAGCTGCAAGTGTTATTGCACCCTCGTTAACAGGAATATTCACTGCATCTATTAATACCGGAATATTCCCGTATGAATGGAAGGAAAGCAGAGTAACGCTAGTATTATAACCCAGGCAACAATCGACCTATATCAATTATTCCATGTGTTGCTAAAATTTTTGAAAAAATCATATTCGATCAACTACATGGGTATCTTGATTCAAATAATTTGCTAAACACATGCCAATCTGGATTTCGACCGTTTCATAGTACCCTAACAGCGTTGCTAGAAGCCACAAGCGACGGGCCCATGAATATTGACAGTGGCATAATTAACGGAGTTGTATTTATTGATTTAAAGAAGCTTTTGATACGATCGATCATCAAATTATCCTGCAAACGCTTAAAAATTATGGTATTGACGAAAACAGTCTTACCTGGTTTCATTCATATCTCACTGATAAAACTCAAAAGTGCCGGGTAAATGGTCAACTGTCAGATTCTGTGCCAGTGGCCTGCGGTGTCCCTCAAGGTAGCAGTCTAGGGCCATTGCTATTCCTCATCTACTTTAATGATTTACCGAACTGTCTAAATCATACAACTAGTACTGCTAGAATGTTCGCAGATGATACAAGTATTAGTTATGCGTCCGACTCAGCCAAAGAGCTCCAAAATGTCATTAACACCGAATTGAAAGGTCTAAGCGATTGGCTAACCACTAATAAACTAAGCTGAAATATTGAAAAACAGAATTCATGGTAGTTGGATCTAGACAGAGAATAAAAACACTAAATAATGAAATAGATATTGAGATAAACGGTAATATGGTCAACCAAGTTACTTCGGTAAAATCTCTCGGTGTCCATTTTGATAATCACCTTATGTGGTCTGAGCATACTGAAAACTATGTAAAAAACTTGCTTCAGCCATAGTGGCTTTAAAACGTATATGATCCTGCATTTCAACGAACACGGCTATCCAGTATACCAAGTATACTGTACTGTACTGTACTGTACTGTACTGTACTGTACTGTACTGTACTGTACTGTACTGTACTGTACTGTACTGTACTGTACTGTACTGTACTGTACTGTACTGTACTGTACTGTACTGTACTGTACTGTACTGTACTG